GACGTTGGCCGCAACCGCAGCCATCCCGAAGTAAATTCTACAAAAGATTCTTGACTTCTAGATCGTTCAAGAAGATGAGTGATACATCGACTCATGCAAACTGAACCCTATATTCTGGCACAATACGCGCTGCTGAAAATAGCGCTCAAAACCCTTCCATCTATGGTCATACAAGAGTGGGAACGGTGGGCGGGGGAACAGCTAGGTGTCGCTAGGTGTTCGCGCCCCACTCGAGAAGCAAAGCGTATACTATAAGTTATCACAAAGCGCTGCCTGTGCACGGCAACACACCCAGGTTGTGGCGGGACGACGAAAGAGTTCTTCCAAGCGAGCGCGGTATTCACACCAGCACCTAGTTGATTAAATGTGGAAATTGTACAGCATGTCAGGTCTGATAGCTAAATTCGGTAAGTTTGCTATTACACCACCACTAGAAAGGCGGAGGTAATGTGGAGGCAAGTAGTCTGACCACCAAGCCCGCGGTTTTGGGGTCATAGCCTAGATCGCTTCGCTCAGGCCAATCAAACTTTCCATTGACCAAGAATTCTAGTGGAAGGCTTTGGAAGCTCCTGGGGGGCTTGGTAGGGAGGGCACTTGCCTCTACATCGCCTCCCCAGTGCTGATGCCACGTTAAGTGGGTTGGGTCCTGGTGCGGATGCTGTGAAATGGCTCGTTTCCAACGTCTACTTCGCCGCGAGAAGGAAGTGAGACCTGAAAAATGCATGAACAAGTTCTCACACCTCTCAGCTCACGGGCGACGGGCGTCAGCTTCCTACGGCGAAGGACCGAAAGGGCATAGCCGTTTTGTGAAAACTGGAAATTGCCTGATGTGCGATCCTTAACGCCACCATTATAAGAGCCCTTTTGATGGTTGTGATTTGATGCTCAGATTTCTCTGTCACCGGAACCAGTGGAACCGCCATGCCAATGCGAGCTTAATGGAGTAGCCTACAATTTTTGTTACCAGTTGCCAGCAGAACCAAAAATTCATGGACGGAAATTCAGCTGTTCATATGCTCAACACTTGGATAAACTTGGTATAATAGCTTTCTCTGGAGGGTTCCTCCACGGACTCCCTACCCTCCTCCCCCGCTTCAACCCGCAGACCCCCACTTAGACCTTCCCTTCATGACCCGGAGATGTGTACGACTCTATATGTGAGCGCAGCAGCTACTACATGTCAGTGGACAGCCGCCATTGCAGAGAGCGATCTGAGACGTCATCATATCATCATTATCGAGGTGGATGTGGATGTTCGCTGCACTTACGAGGAAGGTCTGCCCCGCTTTTACAAAATGGTTTTTTTAATTTTGTAGAGGGCTTGAACATAGACCACAGAAGTGGGGTTCATTTTCGCTGAGCGGCCCCAGGAACGCCAAAAAAGGAGCGAAAAGTACGTCTATGTACCCCATATGAGAGACGTTGAGCGCTATACTGGCGCCCACTGCGATAATTGTCAAAATCGTGAATCAGGACTATCGATTACCCCTATGGACGAACTTCTAGCCAAAAAATTTTTTGATTTTTTCGGGTTTTGGTGGACCATTTGGTCGGCAGTGGTGACCGGAGTATCACATCTTCGTAAAGACGATGACGGAACGACGACGTAGCAGGCCGCCGGGCAGGACAGTCGTGTTGCAAGAGCGCGCCCAAGTTTCATATTCGCGATTCGGGCATGGTCTGACCTATAAAGGTCAACTTTCAATACGGTCTTGCTTAATGGTATGTAAAACCTGTAATAATTGAATAGCACTGATTCATGGAGTGTTCCCATTTAAAATGTGCCCATAGGCAGTTATCGAACGCATACTCACGCACAGACATATTTGAACGCGAAAACAGCAAAACATAAAAATGCAAAAACTCGCACGCCGAGGGGAGTCGAACCATCAACCCCACCCCACTGTCCGCTTGAGAATACGTTATCCACTAGGCCATCCGATTGCTGCTGATCACTGCTCCGACCGTTGAAGAAACCATTCCATGAGCCGTTCTCTCTTGATCACGTGCCACAAGTAAGACCCCATACCCCGACTACTTTTCTCTTCGATTCCGATAGTACCTTTATAGGGTCCCTCCATTCAGCAACTGGTCAAAGTTTCAAGCGGTTTACAGCTCGTAGAGGCTCAAAAACAATCAGTTTCCATAGGTTTCTTTTCGCTCCTTTTTTGGCATTCCAGGGGCCGCTCAGCGAAAATGAAGCCCACTTTTATGGTTCATGGGCAAGGCCCTACAAAGTGCAAAGAACCACTTCGAAAAAGCGGGGCACGCCCTGAACGACCTCCTTTGTCAGTGAATAATGTTGCATAATTTAACGCCATTCCTCGAGTAATCCTTGGAAAAGAAACTCGCAACTCTATCACAGGGCGTGGCCAAATTCTCTTCTGGGAAGAACGTTTGAGTCCGCGAATACGGTGATAATACGTTCGCAATGCGAGAATGCCATCCTAGTGATGGAGGAGGTGTTGGGTCTTCGTGGACGAACATCTGAAGTTGTTTCCCATACCCACACTGTATTGGAAAATGAGAAATTTTGAAAAATTCAAGGTCTTCTGTCGACTGATACTGCGCTTGATGCGAAAAGGGATGAGTTTCCGGAACCGATGTTTGTCACGGCAATGTCAGAGAATCACTACAGAGAAGGACTAACGCTGGTGAGGTTTTTATTGGAGAAAGATCCTATCTTTACTCTTCAACTGAGAAATCTTCAGATGTCGCAAGTGCAGTGTAAATCTGAGGAGAGAAAGGCGTTTCAAGGCGCGCCGAAAGCGTGGGGACGGCTTCAATGTAGAACATATTTTTCTTTCCAGTAATATTTAAGTGCTCAATTTGAGTGTCAGGTCGACGAAATTGAGCATTTTCGACAGCCTCTCTTTTATACCTCTAATTAAAAAGCTAAAACCGCATGGGCCCAGCTGCTAAGTATATGGCTGGAAGGCTATGTCTCTTAGAAATGCTAATAATACTTTAAGTGATTCGAAGATTTCAGTTTCGACCTCACAGACAAGCATCGAACCTATTCTGTCCAGCTGAGAGCGTATGGAAGTACCTTATCAATTGAGAAACATGCCAAAGAGGTCATAGAATGCTTCCGTATCATTAAGCGTCACTCTTACTTAGTTGACGTAAGACGTTCACACTTAGTGGATAGGTTCTACATTCAGTTTGCTCCTGAAGAGGGCCCCTCATGCAGTGCACATTCACAAGGTCTGAATTCCCACCTCTTGATCGCTTGAACCAACTTCAAGCTGTCATAAGACGCATCTTTCTTTGGTCATATATATCCACAAGGTTTGAGCTTCTTCTGTAGATTGAGAGCCGAGATAAAATTCAAAAAGTTGTCGAAAACTCACTTTTGGGTCGACCCGAATTTCCCTTTCAATGAAATAAAAATCGACACAAGTCGAGAAATAGTAAGAAGGCAATTATACTATCTTATAGTGCGGAAAATTATCTATCAAACAGTGTAGAACATATTGGGAACAATTGTCATTTTCCATATAAAAATTTGTGTGACAAAAAACGCCATTACTTATGGGCCAACCTAATACAAGTGAAGAGAGTCGGTACAGGGAAAGTCAGTTATCGACGGGCACGCTCGGAATACCCCCCCCCCAATCCGAATTCCGATATGAACTACATAGCGAGTTCCGTGAAGTACTCCATTTTCATCTTGCCACGGTCACCCTCCCCCACCCCAGCCTCCCCTCTCCTCCATCATTTCCCTTCCCTTGCTCTGAGTTAGGTCTCCATACAACGTATTTTCACGAACTTCTAGCCAACCTGTGAAATTTTCACTGCCGAAATAGACACAGAGCTACTGGGACTGAATGTAACGAATCGAAAGATTACTCTAGAGTAGAAGTATGCTCCTCCCACCTTCCCCCCCCCCTCCGCTGCCCCCTCAACGGGATTTACGAAATGATGATGTGTTAGTTTAGTGATGTGGTCCATTTTCTTCACAGTCACTGCGATCTTTGCGTCGTCTCAGCGAACTGGTCCGCTTTGAAGATATTTCAATCAAGGACTTTCCAGATAGCTAACATACGAAAACTGTGGCCGCAGAGGAAGATCATCATCTATAACTTAGGACTGGGTTCCAAGGCAATTAAGGAACTGGAGGTATGGTGCCAATAGATGTACTTTCTCCTTCTTGCGTAACTAGCAGAAATATTACTGTTATATCCAATGAAGTTGTTTTCAGGAAAAGTGTTTAGTAGAGTTACGCGATTTTCCATTCTCTACCTATCCTCCATACGTGAAAGATTTGGACCAGTACAGATGGAAACCCTTGACAATAGCGGTTCGTTCGTTCCACCTTCTGCTTGTTTCTTTTTTCAGCGATACGGGTAAAACTCACATTCCACAGTGAGCCATTGAGAACGATACAGGTACCAGAGTTCAAAAACAGAGGTGTGTGTCCCAGTTGAGTTACACGAGGGGAAAGCAGAGGGTCGAAAAAGTTTCAAATAGGCCCCACTCGCTCCAACTGAAGAGGCGGAGCATTGTCGATAATTACCCCAGGGACACGCCCTACCATTCGCAGCGATCCACACTATAAGTTGTACCATCTTTGCCGAGTCTCGCTATCTAGGATCGACGACACTAACACTTTGCGCGCCGTTCGCTAATGACTGCACCCCGCCCCCTTCCCAGGTTAACGCTCAAATATTTTTGCTCTAATGGGAAATCCCAGCGGTCTTGTGCCTTGAATGTGGGAGAAAATTGGGAGAATGGAAGAATTTAAAGGAGATGGTAGGTAGGATGAGGGATGGGAAGAATTCGTACTAGAGCTGGAAACTGTGAGGAGAGGTCGTTCGTATTTTGCAGAATTTCTCTTCAACGGTAAGACATGCCACGAGCGAGACAATCTCTTCCACCATTTCCAGTGGTCTCTTCCTTTGCCTGCTTTATGTTATCGTGGGAATCACCTTTCGAAGAGCTGCGGTTTTAGCAACTGTGGTTCACTAAACTCAAGGAAACGCTTTGAAAAAAATGTTTTTGTTCAGATGACGGTAAAGGAATTCGGTGCCGTGTGGTACATGGACACCTCAATTCGATGGAAGAAAGATCGCCTAAGTGAAGTGTACGACGAGATCCGTTGTCGAAAGGATCACTATTGGTCGGAGTTAGTGAAAACAAACCATTTCTTGTGAAATACAATACCGCTCCTAATTTGTGG